GTTTCAGTCCTTTATCTAATAGAAAGAAAGCACTCATGTTAGCTTCAGTGGCTGCGCTGATTGACAGGAGCATAGCGGGTATAACTTGACTCTAAGCCATCATAAAAATTTGATTTAGGATGGCAAAAGATACTATATGTTCTTTGGCAATACATACTTAATTCTTATAATAGAAGTCTGGGCATTTTCCCCCAGATAATAAATTTAATCTCTTCCAGATATCATTCACTCACTCAACAGTATATTGATCTCTTTTTATGAAACAGGCTGTGTTCCAGGTGCTTGAGTTACAAAACAGAATCAAAACTCTCTAGGCATTCATAGCTTAGGTGGTAGATATAAAGACAGGTAAAAACAGTACAACATGGTAAGCACTGTGTAAAGTTTTGTGAAAGCCAGAGGACAGAGTGACTAACTGTATATCAAGAAATTAAATATGACATTTAAAAAAGAAAGAAACAAGAAAAGATCAAGTAAACACAATAAAATAACTTTTGGAAGAAATAATAAAATATTCACGTCCCTTCTTCCATTTTCATGTTTATTAAAGTTATATATGGCGCAGCTGGTGTGGTTCAGTGGTTAAGCATTGACCCAGGAGGTGTTCCATTCTTGGGTAGGGCACACACCCAGGTTGTGGGCTTGATGCAGGAGGCAGCCAATCAATAATTCTCTCATCATTGATTTTTCTATCTCTCTCTCTCTCTCCTTCTTTTCCTCTCTGAAATCAATAAAAATCGTATCAGCTTTTACAACACCTACTGCCCGAAGGCAACCCATTCTCAATTTCTTTAGCTGGATTTCTTTGCTTTAACTCAATATCTCTAAAAATGATACCTACATTACTATTATTGACTTTTCACATTAAATTAATGAGGCTTTAACATGTTTTCCTCCCTCTTACTTGAATGCACACTTTCAATTATCCTAATCCTCCTAATAAAATATATTGTAATTTTAATATGATCAATATTTAGTATTTACATTATTATGATTATGTAAAGCTATTCACAGTCGAGCCATGTAGTATTATAATATTATTATTTTTCCTTGCCCATGTCGTATTTTGGTTTCCATGGAGTTAAAAATTACCTTTTATTCAGTTACTTAGTATCATATATATATATATATATATATATATTAGAAAGTTAATCTCAATTATTTTCCAAACATTCCGACATAAGAGTTATTTTGTTAATTTATTTTTCTTGAAAAATATTTCTTGGGCTTTCTTTTCTGAAAATACCTGACTACTTTTCGTTTAGTATTCAGCTATTGTTCTGAGCTCCAACCTTATCAATTTCTGAGGGATTCTCTTTAATCTCCCCATGTTAGATCTCCTGGTCCTTGGATCTTTGGCTTTTCTTTGTATTAGTTTTCTATTTTGGAGAACCAAGTCTTCATTAGTGTTCTGAGAAAGGGTTTAGGAGTGGTATGTGAGACATCTCTCTCTTTTCACTTGATTGATAGTTTTGACTCAGTATAGAATTATGGGCTAAGTATTTTCCCACAGGATTTTGAAAACTTTTCTCTGTTGTCTTCCAGCTTCCAGTGTTGACATTAAGAAGTCCGAGTTCATTTTGATTCCCCGTTTATTGTATGGGTTAGTGTTCTAAGATTTTGTGATGGCAAATCTTGATGTGTATTAATTTTAATCTTTTCAGTTAGGCACTCCCTTGTGTTCTGGAAACTTGTGATCTTCAATTCTGGGAAATTAATCTATTTGAATATTTTCTCCTCATATTTGTCTGACACTCCTATTATTCGTATGCTGGATCTCCTGGACTGGTCTTTTGTTTTCTTTTCTTGTTTAATTCCTTTATTATTTTTCTTCTTTTTTTGGTCCCCCCCCCCCCCCCAGCCACACTTATTTCTGGAAAGTCTATGATGTACATGGCATTAGTTCTTTTTTTTTTTTTTCTTCTTTCCCCCTAGGGGGTAGGGGGGCAGTCAAAAGTTAGTGCATGTGTTAAAATCTGATACCTCGCTCATCCACTTTTCAAAGAAAATTTTATGAAAATAAAGAAGCTGTTCTCCCTTAAATAATCAAAATTAGTTCATTAATCAAGAAATCCAGCTGAAATAGGAAATCATAAAAAAGAGTATCCCCTTTATACATATTATTTTAAATTAAGTCATATCATTTGCATTTATTAGCCAATCTATTGATTTCAAACAATGCCTTTTTTGAGCATGTATCCATTGATTTAAAACCTATATTGTCTTTTTTTTTTTTGTATAAACCATTATCATAGTGCATCATATAAGAATAAAATTTTTGTAATTTTTTTTGTAATGCAAAGCCATAAAGACCATTGTAAGACAATCTGAAAGAATAAGTCTTAATTAATTTTTTAAAATTTTTACGATTGTATCATCTTTACTGAATTTAACAGTTATTAGACATGTATGGCTAGGGACTGAATTTCTCATGAAATTAGGATCCTTCTAAAAGAGACTTCAGAAAGCTTCCTCACATGTTTCCCATATGAGTACACAGTGAGGCACTGAATCTTCTGGCACCTTCATTTTGGACTTCCTTACTTCCAGAACTGTGAGAAATATATTTCTGTTGTTTATAAAACACCCAGTCTATAGGGTTTTTGTTATAGCATGCATCATTTTTAAATCTTTTTAAACATTGAGCTTAGTTTTAGAGAAAATTAAGTATATATTTTACGTTAGTTTATATAATATTTAATTAAACTTTTATTTGCAATAACCGGTGTGACTAGAATAAACACTTTTTAAATAAATGCAGCTGCTTTTTAATAAGTTTACAACAAGACTGGTAGGAGAAGAAGTTGGTGGAAACTTATTTAAAACAGCTAACCTCGAGGTTTTGAGTCAGGAAGGAGTCCAACGATAATGAGGAGAGGCTAAAGACAATTGGATTAGCAGGTTAGGGACGATGGAGCACAGGTCCAGGGAGGATCACAGAATTAGAAAGATGCTAATGAGTATTACTGGAAATGAGTATCTCTGACTTGTGATGTGCATACTGCTCATGCCACTGATATGCAGACAAGGGTTTTGTGACATGAAAATTCTTCTAAATGAATAAGATCTAACAAGTTAGTAAGATCTAACTGTTTAACTGATTTGTTTGTTGGAAAAGTACCAATCTCATGTCACATGACACAACAATTTTTCCATTTCATCTTGGGTATTAGAATTAGGATTCATTATTAATTTAGGGATTAAGGAAAGAGTGTGTGGCTATGGATGTGAACTGCATTTAGATTACATAAATAATGCTGATTATCTGGAAACTTCAGCTATCATTTTTTACTTTGTCTCAATTCTTTACAATAAATAGATGGGTTGTTAGGTTTATATTGTAAAGAATCAGCTTTTGGATTTTGATAAAGTTATGAAAAAAAACCCAACAGAGTGAATAGGTAAATAAGGCCAATTTAATTTTTTAACTTTCAAGAGAGAAATGAAAACTTTACAGATACTCAGTTTTGTGATTAAAAACAGAGAACAAAATGGAGAACATTATGCTAAGTGAAATAAGCCAGTCAGAGAAAGACTAGTACCATATAATTTCACTCATATGTGGAATTTAATGAACAAATTAAACTACCAAGCAAAATAGAGACAGTCTCACAGAGAGCAGGGAGACAGCTCTGGAAAGGGGGTGTTGAGGTGGTGGTGGTGAAGGGATTGAGCAAAAAAGGAAAAAAAAACCCCCAGAGAACTCATGGGTAACCACTGTGGTGATTTTGTGTGTGGGGGGTGGGATGGGGGAGAGGTGAAGTGTAAGAGGGCATAGAGGGGATAAATGGTGATGGAAAAAATAAAATAAAGTAATATAAATAAAAAGCAAAAGAATAGAGAACAAAATTTGTCAGCAATATAGCAACTGCTATAAACAGTATGTTTGAATTTGATATTTTGGTTTGATTAGAAGGTAAACTGAGAAGAAATTGAAATCCATCAGGTGGAAAAGAGGGACAAAGGGAGGGACAGGTAGAAAGATGAACAAAGAAATACAGGAAAAGCAGAGTTGATTACAACAAACGTAAAATAATGACTCGGCAGTTGCAGAAATAGAACAAGACCTGGCTGCGTGGCTGGAGTGCTGGCTTAGCTTCCTCAGGGCTCCAAACCCCTGACAGAAATGACCAGCTATGGAGCCCGTACATTCATACATGAAAAATGCTTGGAGGATTTGATTTGATTTAGGGAAAACACATCTCCCCTCCCCTGCCCTCCCCTCCTCCATCAATTGTCACAACTGAAGGCAGCAGAAGCATCATTTCAAACACCCTTTGAAAAGCTTCCCCTACTTCCTCTGACTGAGTTAGGGTTGTTAATGGGACCATGTAGGGCAGATGGTAGATAGTTCTATGCTCATTGTGGCCAGCCGGGAAGGGCTGGGGTCTGTCAGAGACTAACACATGGAGAATTGGAAAGGCTACGAAAAGATGGCTGCAGTTATATAATAAAGGACCAGAATTAATTTAGAAGCCGGAAGGGGCCCTGAAAAAGGAAATAAAAACCGGAATTACAAATGAGTAGGTTTTTGCCATTGGTAAAAAAATCTGGGTCACTGACAGCTGTATTTTTCCATTTGTGCTTTTGTCTGGGACTTTGATTGCACAATTGTCTAATAATAAGCGTTCATCATCCGAGTCTAACAATAGATTTCATTCCAGAATACAATTGTTATATAACAAAAAAATTCAGTGTGTTGGAGGAAAAGCCAATCAACACAGTGTTAGGCTTTGTATGCCTTTGTTTGTAGGGAGTCAGGCATAAATGAGCATTTGTCATCCCGACTTTTCTAGCGCAGTTCCAGCATCCTGTGCCTGGGGCATGACACATCAGAGTCTGGTGTTCATCTTTTCTTACCTGCCAGTCCTCTCTGGAAAGAACCTCCATGGAATTCATCCTCTACAGTGTTTGTTTCAGGTGTACATATAAATACACGTGCAATGCATTGGTTGGGGATATTGTGGTTTCCAAGGGCAACTTACATAAAAAAGTGCGAGATGAATAATGAAGGGGACCTTCTGCAGGAGGTAGGAAGTTAATAATTAAAATGTCATTTACCACAATACTGACAGCCAAGCTTTCTGTCATTGTCTGTCATCTCTCTGAGTACCGGTATGAACAAGGGCAGCATGGTTATACTTGTCTTATGTCTGCTTTTGGAGAAGTGATGAGATGCTCTTTTCTCCTGCACACTGAGTTTATAAAAAAAACTTAATTTAGAATTTGCATTTGGAAAGCTCACTTAGTTTTAAAAATCATTTCAAATAACTTCGTTAGGCACTGAGTTTCAGAAGCATGAGGACGCTATAAAAATTTTATGCCTATTTTGATTGGTATTAAGAGCATCATCTTTGTTTTTCTCACAGTGCTTGTCTCATTCTAATAAAAATTTTGAGGTTAAGTGATTAAAATTGAGAGCCGTGGAGGCTAACAAAAATGAATACTCTTCCTCTCACCTTCTAAGTTCTCCTCGCTAAACTAATAATCAAATGGACAGGGAGATTAACAGGAGAATATAAAATTTTAATACATGCACATAAGCATGAAAATTCCAAAACAGAAATGCAAAACTGGGTGTTTATGACATTTTGGACAAAGAGAAAAGGTGGAAAAAAGGGGTATTAGTTACAAAAGTGAGAATGGGCTGGCAGCACAGTTGGCAGATAAATTATTGTTATGTAACTCAGAAACAATAGAATGAAAGAGCTTATCTAGCTAACAGGCCCCTGCCTGAAGCCCTCCTGTTTACTTAATTCAAATGAGGCTCAACTGAAACCTGAAATCTCTTTCCTGAAGCAGGTTTCTTTATCTGACTCTCCTGGGCAGGGAAAGGGCAAGGGCCAAGGTTCTTTCTGAGTCTTTTTTTTTTTTTTTTTTTTTTTTTCTTTTTTGTTCCCTCTTATAAACAGCTTAAAATCACTATATTAAAAGGGCAGCTTTAGAGTGGCAAAACTTTGGTCCCTTTCAAGCCTCAGTTTCAAATGTTCAGCATTTTAAATAGGACAGCCCACTCATTTGCTCTAGAATATATTAAAATACTCTGTTGTCAATATGCAGCATTCTCATTATGTGTATGTATTCAAGTTCTACTCTTATTTTTCAGACAGATTATTCTGAAAAGCTGAAATGTAGACAGGGAGGAATGCTGCAGTCAGATCTGGGAGAGTGTCAGTTTTCTTTAGATGAAGTTAAGAAAATATAATGTAAGAAACACACCTACTATGTGTAAGGCACAGTGGTAGACCAATATACTGTTTGGAATAGTGTCATGCAGAGAATAGACCTGGTCCTTACTCCTTCTTCATCTAGTGGACTGATAAAAACCCAAGGAAGCCTGCAGGGAGCAGTTATAGGGTTAAGCCTCGGACTGACCTGTTGGCAAAGCCAAAAACAAGTCCCCCCTTAGAGGGCACAGTCCTCTTGGCATAATTAAGCTTAACCTTATGATGCTCCCTAGATCTTTCCTGGGTAGCTAATGGGCTGTGGGAAGGGCAGCAAGTGCTGCCAAAACAAGTGAAACTCATAAGAACATTACAACATTATATGGTGACCACTGCCTTGTTTACCTCTGGCTATAAAATAAAGGCCCAGCTTGCTGTCTGGATCTGTTCTATGATCTCAGCCAGGCATAGGAGATCCACCTAGACCCAGCTTATTCTCTTTGTCTGTCTTTTCTTCATCCTTTGCCGACTCCCCTCAGGCTCGCCGAACCCTTGGCTGTGTTGGCACAGCACAGAAGCCCTGGCCGGGGTGGCTCAATTGGTTGAGCATTGTCTCATGAACCAAAAGGTCACAGGTTCGATTCCTGGTCAGGGCACTTGCCAGGGTTGCTGGGCTTGATCCCCAGCCAATTGATGTTTCTCTCTCACATCCATATTCCTCCCCCTTTTGTCTAAAATCAATAAAAACCCATATAGAAAACCTAAGGAAGAATGAGGTCACTGACAAGTACACTGAGTTTAAGCAGTGTGCTTTGGTATGGAGACAAGAATAAGTGTACTTCCCACGAAGAAAGTGGGTAACTATGTGAAGAAAGGATTCACTGGAGTGATAAGCTGTGGCTTATCAAGTAGTGACCGATCCTTGTCAGAGGCATCAAATGATGGATATGTTTGTATAAGACAATCAATTTATCTGAAAGTAAATGTGTAGCTGTAAATGATGGCTTAGAGAAAGAAAGTAATCAGTATGTACATCATCAGCTTTTTGAAATTTTGGTTTCTAATTAAATCGGAGTAAGTTTTGTTTCTCCTGAGTTTACGGTCGAACTGTATTTTCTCCCTTACCTCATACAATTTTGGGCAAGGATTCTAGGCAACCCAGCTTTTGTGAAAACTTTTAAGAGTCACCCTGTCTCCATATCAGTCTAGAGACCAATGGTTCCCAATGTGGGGCACACGCCTCATGGGGGGCGGAGGGAGATTTGATTTTCAAGGGAGGCAATTAGAGAATGAGCTATTAACAGTGACTTTTTTTTTTTTTTGCATTTCTTATGGTTCTAGGGGCCTCATATACAGTATATAAATATATATTGTGACTTATTTCATACATTTCAGTTCTCCATTATATGTTTTGAAACTTTATTTGCTATTTTTTTTCATATCACTTCATATTATTATTAATTTAACAATTTCTTAGTGATTTCTTCCTCAGTACTTCAACTATCCTTTTGTTCTTTTATTTTTCTCTTTCATGGATGCCATGTTCTTTGGAAGCTTGTTTAGACCAAGTTAGCGGCATTTTAGGCTTTCTCCATGTGAATAGGAGTTCACTTTTTGAATAATAAGAATTATATGTCACAGGGGAGGCATCAGAATTTTAGAGATGCTTAGGTGGGGCGTGCCCCCTGCCCCCAATTAAAAAAGATTGGGAACCACTGGTCTAGATCAGTGGTCGGCAAACCACGGCTCGTGAGCCACATGTGGCTCTTTGGCTCCTTAAGTGTGGCTCGGCGTTAAAACCACTTCTTCAAAATAGACTTGCCCAGGCCGAAAACTGACTTCTGTGCATGGGCCCACGAAGTTTCAATTGCACTGTATAGGCATGGTATTTTGTGGAAGAGCCACACTCAAAGGGTCAAAGAGCCACATGTGGCTCACAAGCCATGGTTTGCCGACCACTGGTCTAGACCAATGTTGATGTACTCTTAGGAAAATGGAAAAAACTAACAATATCATTTTAAAGTACACAAATTTTCACAGCAAGAGACACACTCTCTCTCCGTGATAACTGGGATGGAACATTATATTGAATAGATGTAATAAAGGTGAGCCTTGGCATCCACTTGATCTGACTCTCCCCTGAATAAACTCCTTTGTGCTCTCCTGAGGCAGGCCATATTCTCAGGAAGAGAAAGTACATGGGAGGAGGGAAGGAGATGGTGTGTGACATTCCTTCCCCAGTTAACTAAAGTCTGGAAAAGGACAAAGATTGTGTTCCATACCAGATGCTCTGGTAACGTGAGCAGCAGTAGCACGAGCTTAACTGCAAAAACACGGCAGCTGAACAAAGGCTCGGTGGATTCAGAAGGGCAGATTGCGTATGTGAAGAAAATCCGCTAGGATGATCACTTCCCCAAGCAGAACAAATTCGCTGGCAAAATCTTCTGTTAAAAGGAACAGTTATTAATCTTAGATTTGGTAGTTCCCTAAAGAATATTTTACTGAGCTTCCCTATGCAAAGCAATATCATAAAGTCATGCATTCAGCCAAATTCTTAGCAGCGGTGAACAGAAAATAGATTAAAAAACACATTATTATCACCAAATATAGACCTTATTGGTATATAAGGTTGTGAAATCTATCACAATAATTAAAAACTATTTATCAAAAATCTTGTGTGTGGCACTGAGCTGGGTGGTACTAGTATGTCAAGCAAGTTGGGTAAGATTTGTTCTCTGCCCTGTAGATGCTTATGACTCATCCAGAAAACACCTGCACAGGTGGACACAGAGCTGATGCTTTCACGGTGCAGTGGGAACGGATGCCACCTGGGGGCAGGCCAGAGGTCCACCCTCTCTGCAGCCTGGATCTGTCTGTGTGCTAGGGCATTACTGCAGCTCTGTGGGAGGCTATGACCCCAGTTTACCCCACCCTCACTGCTTCATGCTATTTTCTGTGCAATTCTACAAAAACTTCCCAACTCTATATTTTTATTGTAAATGCGTTTTGTCTCTTAGGATTCAAAGTTTTGTTTTCAGATCTCAAGGATTTTAGTTCATTTCATATTAATTGTGATTTACCTTAAATCCACCCTTCCTTAGTTCAAGCACCTCTCCCAATGTTAAAATAGGTTCCTGTTTCATGTATGGCGGTTAAGAGACTACTCACTGAAACCGGAATGCCTGTGTGTTGTGTTGTAGACTCGCCAGTAATAGCTCCACTAAGTTTTCATCTTTACAGTCTTAAAGAGTTTTATACTTTTTCCTATGCATAGTAGAACTTTGTTTGCCTTTGGATATAATACTGATAACAATTATATGTGGTATACATTTATATAAGTAAATACATCTGTATCCTTTTATAGCCCACTAAAGTTTTCCTACGGTACAGAGACTGGAACTATATTGTTATCCTAGTTCTAGGCATATTATATTTTTAAAAAATAGAATGCCTTCTCCCATCATATTTAAAATATTCTTTTTGATGAGGTCCAGATTTATTATTTATTTATTTATTTATTTATTTATTTATTTATTTATTTATTATTTAAAGTATTACAAATAGTAGTACATATGTCTCCGCCACCTTCCCTTCACCCCATTGACCTTCCCCCGGCCTCCCCTACCGCCTGGCTAATGCCCTCAAACTCCCATCCCCCCCACCAGGGTCTTGTGTCCATTGGTTATGCTTATATGCATGCATACAAGTCCTTTGGTTGATCTATTTTCCTCCCTCCTCAATACTCCCCAGCCTTCCTGCTGTAATTCGACAGTCTGTTCGATGCTTCTCTGCAGCAGCCCATTAGTTGATCCTTTTACCAACAATTCTATGTTTTTGGATCTTATTTCACAGAACCCATTCTCATA